CTCTGGGCCTGGGCACTGTCCCTCAGCTCTTCGGCTCAAGGCTAGCGCTCTACCACTTGAGCCACAGCACCACTTCTGGCTTTTTTCTTTTTGATTATGTGGTGCTGGGGAATCGAACCCAGGGCCTCATGCATGCAAGGCAAGCGCTCTACCACTGAGCCACCTCCCCAGCCCCTTCAGCTTGTTCTTTTAGATAGGGTCTTGCTACTTTTGCCTGAGCTGGCTTTAAAGGCTCAAACACTCTATCTCTGCTTTCCAAGTAGCTGGCCTCAGCCCTTTTAATTCTATCATACAGTATTCAGTGTGTGTAGTTACATGGTAGAATGCTTCCCTAGCATGCATGAGGGTCTGGGCTCAATTTTCAGCACTGAAAAAACAAAAAAATTACAACAATTATGGTGGAAATTAAATGATAAATTGTGGACATAAATATTAATTACTACCAAATAAAAAATAATTTTCTGGGCTTAATGATGTCTGCCTCTAAACTTAACTACTAGGAAGGCCGAGCCAGGAGAATAGGAAGTTTGAGGTCAGCCTGTGCAACTTAATGAGACCTTGTCTCAAAACAAAATAATTGCCAGGTGCTGGTGGCTCACACCTGTAATCCTAGATACTCAGGAGGCTGAGATCTGAGGATCGCGGTTTAAAGCCAGCCCAGGCAGGATAGTCTGAATGAGTCTTATCTCCAATGAACCACCAGAAAACTGGAAGTGGTGCTATAGCTCAAGTGGTAGAGTGCTAGCTTTAAGCAAAAGAGCTCATGGACAGTGCCCAGACCCTAAATTCAAACTCCACAATCAAACAAAAATATAATAATAAAAATGATGATGATAATAATAATTCAATGAAAAAGACTGGGCACATAATTCAGTGGTATATTACTTGGCTAGCATTTCTAAGGCTCTGGTATCAATCCCTATTAACACACACACACACACACACACACACACACACACACACACACACACACCCCTGGAGCTTTGGCATGCTAAGAGGCCTTAAAACCTATTTAAGAATCCAAGTATCCTAGCTCCTCAAGAGGCTGAGATCTGAGAATTTGAAGCCAGCTGGGGCAGGTACCTCTGGAGACTCTTTTTTTTTTTTTCTTGTTGGTCATGGGACTTGAACTTTGGGCCTGAGTGCTGTCCCTCAGCTCTTCAGCTCAAGGCTAGCACTCTACCACTTGAGCTATAGCGCCACTTCCGGTTTCCTGGTGGTTTTTATTGGACATAAGAGTTTCACAGACTTTCCTGCCCAGGCTGACTTTGAACCATGATCCTCAGATCTCAGCCTCCTGAGTAGCTAAGATTACAGGCGTGAGCCACTGGCGTCCAGCCGGAGACTCTTATCTTCAATTAACCATCAAAAAAAAAAAAACTAGAAATGGGGCTGTGACTTAATGGTAGAGCACTAGCCTTGCACAAAAAGAGCTCAGGGGTAGTGTGCAGACCCTGAGTTCAAGCCCCATAACCAACAACAACAACAGAAAAGAATCCAAATGCTTCTTCCCTCCCTTGTTTTTTCTCCTCTCAGCACAGTGAGAGTCTTTCTTTAAAGTTCCCTTATCTTTCTGACCTGGTTGACAGACACCAACCACCAAAAGGGGAATGTGATTGCTTCAGTTTTCTTGCTGAAATTTTTTGCTAAACTCATAGGAAGAAAAATACTGAAATGTCATCACCCCTGGACAGATTTTCATCAGACACCATTGTTCCCTATTTCAGTCCCACAGAGAGTCAGGTAAAATCTGTTTTCTGTTCTACGATCTGAGTCTGCCCACTGAGTCATGGAACAAACATTTATTGCTCCACTAAAAAAAAATGTTTGCATTCAATTCTTCCCCTCCTCTGTAGAAAAAAAATGATTTTTCAAGTTTCTAGGTTGATGGATAATTATATTCCTATGATTTTTCTTATGCTGTGATTTTTCTCTCTGTGCACGCTAACCAATTTATGTGCCTTTTATTTTCTATTTAAAAATGTCTATTGTTGATCAGACATGGTGGCCCAGGCTTATAATCCCAGCTACACAGGAGGTCAAGGTAGGAGGATCTCAGTATCAAACTGGCCTTAATTTAAAAACAAAGAACAAAACACAAAAAACCACAAGACCCTACTTGGTACTATTGACTCATACCTATAATCTTAGCTACTGAGGAGACTGAGATCTGAGGATTGATGTTCAAAGCCAGCCCTGGCAGACAAATCAGAAACTCTTATCTCCAACCCATCAGCAAACAGCCAGAAATAGAGATGTGGCTTGTATTAGCATGCCAACCTTGAGCAAACAAGTCAAGCAAAGTACCATGCCCCAAGTTCAAGCCCCAGTACAAGTACACACACACACACACACACACACACACACAGAGTGAGACCTTACCTGAAAAATAAAGCAAAAAAAAAAACCTGGAGGGTGTGGCTTAAGCAGGTGTGGCCCACCTGCTTAGCAGAGTTCAAACTTCAGTACCATAAATTAGTAAGGAAACAAATGAATAAAATATAATGTGTAAGTGCGTTACTTACCTGACTCTTAGCTTGTCGGGGATGGTAACCGGGACTTGGGGTGCCTGCTCCTGCTCCTGTCGCCTTTGCCACCAAATCCACAGTCATCATGCGTGAGTGTATCTCCATCCACGTTGGCCAGGCTGGTGTCCAGATTGGCAATGCCTGCTGGGAGCTCTACTGCCTGGAACACGGCATCCAGCTTGATGGCCAGATGCCAAGTGACAAGACCATTGGGGGAGGAGATGACTCCTTCAACACCTTCTTCAGTGAGACAGGCGCTGGCAAGCACGTGCCCAGGGCAGTGTTTGTAGACATGGAGCCCATTGATGAAGTTCGAACTGGCATCTACCATCAACTTTTCCACCCTGAGCAGCTCATCACAGGCAAGGAAGATGCTGCCAATAACTATGCCCGTGGGCACTACACCATTGGCAAGGAGATCATTGACCTCGTCTTGGACCGGATCAGAAAGCTGGCTGACCAGTGCACAGGTCTTCAGGGCTTCCTGGTCTTCCACAGCTTTGGTGGGGGCACTGGCTCTGGCTTCACCTCCCTGCTGATGGAGCGTCTCTCTGTGGACTATGGCAAGAAGTCCAAGCTGGAGTTCTCCATTTACCCCCACCCCCCAGGTGTCCACAGCTGTAGTTGAGCCCTACAACTCTATCCTCACCACCCACACCACCCTGGAGCACTCTGATTGTGCCTTCATGGTGGACAATGAGGCCATCTATGATATCTGTCATAGAAACCTCGATACTGAACACCCAACCTATACTAACCTGAACCGCCTTATTAGCCAGATTGTGTCTTCCATCACAGCTTCTCTGAGGTTTGATGGGGCCCTGAATGTTGACCTGACAGAAGTCCAGACCAACCTGGTGCCCTATCCCCGCATCCACTTCCCCCTGGCCACATATGCACTCCCTCTGTACAACTGAGCTAAAATGCAGACTCACTTCTTCATCCTTCTGACTGGTAAATTTGAAAATATGATAGCAGTTGGGTATAGTTTCTGGCATATACCTACAACACCAGTGCTTGGAAAGCTGAGGTAGGAAGATTATGAGTTCAAGCCTAGCCTGAGCTACATAGCAAGACCCTGTCCAAAAGCAAAACAAAACAAAACAAAAAACCACCTTGAAACCTGAAAATACACAGTACTTGTAAGACTAGGAGAACAGATACTCCTATGATCAAGCTGGGCGCCAGTGGCTTACACCTGTAATCCTAGCTACTCAGGAGAGTGAGCTCTGAGGATTATGGTTCAAAGCCAGCCTAGGCAGAAAAGTGTGTGAGCCTCTTTCTTTCTTTTTTTTCTTTTTTTTTGTCAGTTGTGGGGCTTGAACTCTGGGCTTGGGCGTTTTCCCTGAGCTCTTAAGCTCAAGTCAAGTACTCTATCACTTGAGCCACAGCTCCACTTTCCGTTTTTCTGGTGGTTAATTGGAGATAAAAGTCTCACAGACTTTCCTGCCCAGGCTGGCTTTGAACCATGATTCTCAGAGCTCAGCCTCCTGAGTAGCTAGGATTATAGGTGTGAACCACCTGTGCCAGGCTCTGTGAGGCTCTTATATAAAATTAACCAGCCAAAAGCTGGAAATAGAGCTGTGGCTCAAGTGGTAGAGCACCAGACTTAAGCAAAAAAGCTAAGAGAGAGTACAAGGCCCTGAGTTCAACCCCTAGAACTGGACCCCCTTCTCTCCCCACCCCCTCCCCAAAAAGAAATGGGAATTATTACAATCTTGTAAGAATATAATCTATCCATATGAATTAAAAATTAAAATACACAGAGCCTTTGGCAAAGGAATCTCATTTTTGTGAATCTATGCTGTGAAAAGAAGGTTATCGGGTCTGTTTCTTTTTCTTCTTCTTCTTCTTTTTTTTTTTTTTTGTTTGTCATGGGGCCTGAACTCTGGCCTGGGCACTGCCCCTCAGCTCTTCAGCTCAAGGCTAGCACTCTACCACTTGAGCCACAGCATCCCTTCTAGCTTTTTCTGCTTATGTGGTGCTGAGGAATTGAACCAAAAGCCTCATGCATGCAAGGCTGAGCTACCTTCCCAGCCCCTCAGGTCTGTTTCTTATTGGCATCAATTCCTGTGAGTTAGGTCTGTCACAAGTCTTTGACCTTGTTTCCAAGAGATGCTAATATTCACTTTTGCCTTAAACAGCTAAGCATTTGATATGGACAGTACCTCCAGTAGCCATTGGACCTTTCTTCCTTGGAGTAGTAATTTCTATTGAACTTCACAGTTGAAGACTATACAACCCAGCCTTCCTTAGAGCCAGGTAGAGTCAGTCTAGTCAATAGGGGATAAATAGAGGAATGTCTGTTACCTCCTGGGCTAGAGAATTGTTCAGCTGGAAATTTTGGTCCTGTCATATATTATAAATATCTGTTGGACTCCCAAAGTTAAAGGATATAGAGTTGGAAGCCATAAAATGGCTAATTTCTGCCATGGAGTAAGAAAGAAACAGAGAGAACTATGAAAAAGGGAATGGACCCAATGAGAAACCAAAAAGATGAGAATGGGTGGTGGGAAACTCCTGGGTATGCTATGACACCTTAGGATTCTCAGAGAGCAATTTCATTCTAGCTCTCATTTTTATTTTGGGGGGTATTGGTAATGAGACTTGAATTCAAAGCCTCATGGTATTGCTCAGCTTCCTTGCTCACAATTGATGCTCTTATCCCTGAACCACACCTCTAGCCTGGCTTTTTGATTAGTTCATTGGAGATAGAATCTCTAGACTTTTCTGCCCAGGCTGGCTTCAAACCTTTTATGTCTCTGTCTTCTAAATACTTCAGATTGTAAGTGTTAGCCACTAGCACCCGGCTCTAGCATTCTTTTTCTTTTCTTTTCTTTTTTTTGGGGGGGGGGTCCGGTCCTGGGGCCTGAACTCTGGGCCTGGGCGCTGTCCCTCGGCTCTTCAGCTCAAGGCTAGCGCTCTACCACTTAAGCCACAGGCCACTTCCGGCTTTTTTCTTTTTGCTTATGTGGTGCTGAGGAATTGAACCCAGGGCCCCAGGCATGCAAGGCAAGTGCTCTACCACCGAGCCACCTTCCCAGCCCCTAGCATTCATTCTTCATGAATGAGACTGTTACCTCTATCTCTGCTTGTTTGTTTCCACATTTTCCTTCCGCTAATGTGAATGATTTTTCTTTTTCTTTCTTTTTTCAAGAATAGCAGATTTCCTAAATCAGCCTTTTAGAATAAACTTCATTTTGTATATTAGCCAGTAAAGTATGGTAGAAAAACTGAGATGTGATGTGTGACTTCTGTTGTTGTTGTGGGAGAATTATGAATAACAGTGATTTATTTACCTATTAATAATAATAATTTATTATTATTATTTTTGCCAATCCTGGGGCTTGAACTCTGGGCCTACTCATTGACCCTGAGCTTTGGTGCTCAAGGGTAGTGCTTTACCATTTGAGCCACAGCTCTATTTCCAGCCTTTTCATGGTTAATTGGAGATAAGAGTCTCTCACACTTTCCTGCCTGGGCTGGCTTCCAACCTTGATCCTCAGATCTCAGCTTCCTGAGTAGGTAGTGAGCCACTGGCTTATTCACCTATTATTAAAAGTTCCCTTCTCAGGACTGAGAATATGGCTTAGTGGTAGAGTGCTTGCCTAGCAAGCATGAAGCCCTGGGGTTTGATTTTTCAGTACAACATAAAAAAGAAAAGCTGGAAATGGCATTGTGGCTCAAGTGGTAGAGTGCTAGCTTTGAGCGAAAGAAACTCAGGGGCAGTGCTCAGGTCCTGAGTTCAAGCCCTTGGGGTGGCAAAAAAAAAGTTTGCTTCTCTTATCTGAAAAGGTGGTTAGACTTTCACCAAAGAGGAAGTTGAACTGTTAGGCTGAGAGAAGGGAAGGTCTCCAGGCTGAGTTTAGATTCCAAAAGTTTGAGCTCCTTGAGGGGAGTTTTATGGGGGAACAGGTTAAGTGTCCTAGGGCAAAGCAGCAAGAATTAAAGGAATGTCTAGAGCTGGTAGGGATAAAATATCTGTAGACTATGTGAGTCTCTGGGACATCAACCTTGGTTAGTCTCAGGGAAATGGAAGGACTTCAGAGAGGATCTATTGCAGGTTGTACATTCAGAGAGAGTGGGCCTGAGATACTTTAGATCTTAGCTTGTCATGCTTAATTATATATATGCATTAATTATATATGCTGGACCTGGGAACCTGGGCACTATCCTTGAGGTTTTTTTGCTCAAGGCTAGTACTCTACCCCTCAAGCCATTTGCCACTTCCAGCTTTTACACTGGTTAACTGGAGATAAGAGTTTCACACACTTTCTTTCCTGGGCTGGCTTCCAACCTTGATCCTCAGTGCTCAGCTTCCTGAGTAACTAGGATTACAGGTGTGAGTCATTAGTGTCCAGCTTCTTTTACATTTTTTTATTGATATATATTAAATTATATGTGCTAAGGTCATGTCAGGAAGAATAGATAAAAGAATTCAGTGCCCTTAAGTTAGTCATTGGGGTACTAAAGAGTTTCCAGATTACATAGTGAAGGGGCAAGAAATATCTTCAATTAGTCTTGGAGCTAGGGATGTGGCTTAAGTGGTAGAGTGCTTGCCTAGAAATTTCAAGGTCCTGAGTTCAAACCCCTATATCATTAAAACAAAGCAAAAAAAATAGTCTTGGTTAAACTTCAGACAGGACCGGTCAAGCCAAGAGGGTCATGATAAGAAAGGAAGGTACATTTCACATTAGTCCTGTCATTTCTGCAATCCAAGGTGACCAGAGGAGAGAAGAGACTCAGGAGGAAAAGGTTAAAGAAGCAAAACCAGCCTGGTGCTGGTGGTTCACACCTGTAATTCTAGTTATTCAGGAGGCTGAGTTCTGAGAATCGCAGTTGAGAGTCAGCTTGGGCAGAAAAATTCTAGAGACTCTTATTTTTGCTGACTACAAAAAAAAACCGGAAGTGGGGGTGTGGCTTAAGTGGTAGAGTGCTAGCCTTGAGTGAATAATCCAAGGGAGAATGTAAAGCCCTGAGTTCAAGCCCCATTCTCCAGCAAAAACAAAACAAAATAAAGCAAAGCAAAAAACAAATGCAACAACAATAACAACAAAAGGATTGGAAGTATAAAATAAAATTAGACCTGTAACCCATACCTTCCCTCAAATCCCCACGATCAAGCCATCATTCCATTGCTATGGGGGTAGAGTGCTAAAGGCAGAAGCGATTTCCTTCAGTAATTACTTCCTGTGATAGAGGGTGTTGGAAAGGAAGATCTTGACAAGGTCTGGAAGCTATTTCCTGTAGCTTCAGCCTTGCAGAAGGATGAGCTAGGCTTGGCACCACAGCTTTTATAGGTTCTCACTGAGTGGTTATTCATCTATGTGCAGTGTTAAGTAGGAGTTTTAAGACCCAAAGTTTTAAGACAAGTGAGACAGTTGTAAAATGAAGATGGTAATATGGGATTTTTCTCATGCGTTTAACTTGTGGGCCCAAGTGAGGAGTCAGTGCATTCTAGCAAAAGGAGTTTCTAAGTACCTATCACATGATTATTTTAAAGACCAGGATTGGGTGCTTGTGATTGGGAAGTAACCTATGGACAGGTCTCCTGGAGAAGGAATCAAGATTCTATTTATTTACCTGGTGGTGGTAACAATGTTCACTTTAGATTGAGCTATGTATTTGTTCTCTCTGTGTGTGTGTGTGTGTGCAGTTGTGTACATGCAAGTGCATGTAAATGTATGTTTAAAGTACCTGTGGGCTTACTTTTTTTTTTTTTTGTCAGTCATGGGGCTTGAACTTT